AAATGCCAGTTTCTAGAAGAGGCTTGGCTGCACGCACGAAGGTCCCATGTTTGAGGGTTCTTTGTAAATACCGATGAGATGCAAAAACGAGATTAATAAAGGAACTGCTCTCTTGGCTTGCTCAAGTTTCCCAAGGAACAAAGCGTGCCCAGCCTCTCAGCCATGTTTACCTAATGGAGGGTGCAATAAGGCCCTGAGATTCTGAGTAGGCAAAGGCTACTTCTTGCTCCAGGGCTAGGGCAGGATCTGTGAGGAAAGGGCCGCACCCTCTAGGTATCTGCTGTGGAGATTTTATTTAGTTTTTCTTGGTGTCTTGTGATGAGTTGATCAGGGGTGTGGGAAGCATCTCCAGCTTTTCCATCAGGCCTTGCCCAATGGGAAAACATTTTTAAAAAATTGCCAATAGGTATGTGCTCTTGGGAGAAAGAAGGGGGAATGGGGGGGGGAGACAGAGAGAGAGAGAGAGAGAGAGAGAGAGAGAGAGAGAGAGAAAGCACTGTCTCTTTTCCCCCCAGTGAGGCCTAGTCATGTTTCAGTCTCTTACATTTTTCCATCCTGTCAATATTTTGGACACATGGGCACTCCTTGTGTTTGTCAAGCAGAACCGGCATAGATCCAAACTGCATTTGCCATGTGGGAGCTGACTCCTTTAACCATGAGCTAGGGGAGGTCCCCTCAGCGGGAGGTATTAATGTCATCAAGCCTTTGTGATAAACCGAGGATTTCCAACACTTTACACTCATTCAATTCTTGCAACCACCAAATGAGGTTAAGTATAGTCACACTTGCTTAACAACTGGAATAGTCCTGAGAAATGCATCCTTAGGCAATTTCATCGTTGAGCAAACATCACACAAGTGCAGCTGGAGTGGCTGCGGCACTCCTGGACTATATGGTATGGCCTATTCTAGCTGCGTGGAACCACTAGGGCATTACATACATGGTATGACATTCGCTGAAGGATCCCCACGCAGTGTACAGCAGTCCTGTGCCCTTTGTGTTTTACTGCTCTGCTACTCTACCAACATGGTCGCACGATTCCTTGACCTATTGGTGTCTCAGTTTGCTTATGTGTAAAATGGAGATAATAATTGCTCCTGCTATTTATTTATTTATTTATTTGCCATAGGGTGCATTAACTCGCCAGAGACAGAGAAAGGGAAAGTGAGAAATTACCCCCTGGAAGGAACGGCCATGCCACAGTCCCCTCTCCTCCATTCTCCTCTCAGGGTATTGGGCACACACCTACACATACCTAGTAGGATTTTTTAAGCAGCCAGGTCCAGGAGTTGAACCACTGTTGGTCATTTAGGAGTCCAGTGTCTTAACCACCACACTACCTGCTAGCCCCAACTTGTAACTCTTAAGACAGGGGTTCTCTAAGTGTGTACTAGGTACTCCTAGGAATCCCCAAGACATATTCTGAAGGTCGAAGCTGTTTTCACAACACTAAGACATTAATTTCTCCTTTTCATTCTCATTTTTATAAGACTACAAAGAGATTTTTTTGAGCCTACGTGACCCAAAATAGTACAACAGGTTGAATGTGGAAACTGTTCTCTGTTACGTCAGACATTAAGAAGATTTACGAAAAGATAAAAACAATGCTACTCTTTTTACTAATTCATTTTTGCTTTGGAAAATATTGTTATTGGTCATAAAAAATGTTATTTACCATGTGTGATGGGTTTATTATTATTATTATTATTATTATTTTAATTGCCAGGGATGTCTATACTCTCCAGAGAGAGACAGAAACTGAGAGAGAGGGAGAAAATGTCTCTCAATGGGGTGTGGCCACACCGCCATCATGTCTCCATCCTGTCAGGATTTTGGGCATGTATGTATGTGCACCTGGCATGTATTTCAATCCACCAGGGCTGACATTTGAACTGCAGTTGGCTATATGGGATCATGCTTCTCCTCTCAGGAACTTGGGTATGACACACATGTGCCCAGCATCAGTTTTACGCTGCCAAGTCTGGGACTCAAACTGTGGTCGACTATGTGGGAATCCAGTGATGTATCCATTACAGCATTTGCTGGTCCCCCAAATATTGTAATTTCTAAAATAATAAAACCCATGTAAACAAATAGGTCTTTGGATTCTCAATTTCTAAGGAAGTAAAGGGTCCAACTATCTCATAATCCTCGTCACAGAACTGTAAAAGGTCCCAGGAATGACTGTGACTGCGCCTGCACATGCTCAGTAACTGTTACCTCTCCTGTTATTGCTGTCACGGGACAAGAATGAGTATGCGTCCTCCCTCGTGCCCAGCAGTGCAAAGATCTTCGTCGAGGGCTGATGTGGGACTTGCTATCTTTTCTTCTGCTCTGTTCCTGACTCCTGTGGAGTCTTATGCTAGGAAGCTGGAAGATGCTTACAGCATGTTGCCTGGTACTCTCGTCACAGGACATGTTTTCTTAGGGTCTACCCATGGCCTGCCACGCAAGTGAGCTGGATACCACTATGTGGCTGATCACACAGTTCAAGTCCTATACCTGGTGGCTTGAGAAATGTGAAGTGCATGTGTGGGTATGCCCAAAATCCTGAGATGGGAGAAATGGAAATGGAATTGTGGTATGACCATGTCCCATGGGAGCTGCTTGCTTTTTCTTTTTCTTTCTTTTTTTTTTCTTTCTTTTTTTTTTTTTTTTTAAGAATTATTTATTTGGGGCCAGCAGGTGGCACGTTGGTTAAGGGCACTGGACTTCCACATGACCGACTGTGATTCGAGTGCTGGACCTGGCAGCTTGCTTTCTCACTCTCTCTCTCTCTCTCTCTCTCTGTCTCTCTCACTCTATCCCTCTCTGGTCAAGTTAAAAAATAAGTAAGTAAATCCTTTTTTAAAAAACAATTATTTTATTTATCATTATCATTTTTATTTTGACCAGATAGGGAGAGAGAGAGAGAGAGAGAGAGAGAGAGAGGAGGGAAAGTGAGAAAGCAAGCCACCAGGTTTGGGACTCGAACTCTAGTTAATCATGTGGGAGTCCAGTGCTCTTAACTACCATGCCACCTGCCAACCCCAATAAAATAATTCTTTTTTTTTTTTTTTTTGGAGAGGTTTTTGCCATAGGATGTGTGCACTCGCCAGAAAGACAGAGAGAGACAGAGAGACAGAAAGAGAAAAATCACCCCTGGGGGAGGTGGCGACACCACAGTCCCTTCTCCTCCATTCTCCTCTTGGGATCTTGGGTACTCACACACATGCACCCGGCATGAGTTTAAGCCACCGAGTCCAGGACTCGAGCCATGGTCGACCACATGGGAGTCCAGTGATATAGCCATTATGTATCTGCTGGTCCAATTCTTAAAAAAGAATGATTTATTTAATTTGATCTATTATTATCATTATCATTATTATTGTTAGTTTGCTACAGGGCTCGTGCACTCACCAGGCATAAAGAGAAGGAAAATGAAAAAGCCTCCAGGTCTGGGATTCAAACTGTGGTCTGCCATGTGGGAGTCCAGTACCTCAACCACCATGTTACCTGCTTGCCCCTGGGGGCTGCTTTCTCAGTTTTCCTCTCTCTGTTTTCTCTCTTTGGCGAGTACACGTGTCCTCTGGAAAAATTAAGAAAAAAATAAAAGTGGTTCCTGATTTCACCATGCCAGATCCTGGTTTCGAGTACAGAGATTTCCTATCTCATGCATGTTGGGGCGGTCTTTGTATCTGGATCAGACTGCGTGAATCGACTGCACTTCTCCATCTTGCCTTTGTTTGAGAAATCTCTGCCTTGGAAAACAATGCGAGGGTTATTGCGCTTCAGGAATCACAAGGGCTCTGAGCCCAGTGTGCTTAAAATCTTACTGCGAAGAACGTACTGTTGAATAGTTGACAAGTGTTGATGGAGGAAGGACGATTTTGTCTTATTCCTCTATTTTTCCTTTAAGAAGATGACTGTGAGAATGTATAGCTGATGTCTGAAGGGTTTTGAAGACACCTTTAGTAAAAAGGCAAGTGGACAATTG